CACAAAAATGATTAGTTCAAGAAGTTCATGATATTACGGTTCTATGGGGACGGTTCGTTTTCTTCGACATCGATGCATCAGTGTTTCCACACTGAAACTCGACTGTTCGATACTGCTTTTGATATTCTTTTTCGCTACTCTTTGGGGAATTTTCTCAGACTTCTTTTCCAGCCACATATGAAGGAATCCGATGAATACTTATTGTCGACCAAAGAACATAAGCATCAAATGTGCTATTCTTTGATGTTGGTGAACAGAACGTACTTCGCTATCTATGTAATGATTTGTGATGAGCGTGCACTCCTCAACCAACATTATCAGATATGACTACCAAGATATGACTATCAGATATGACTATGACTATGACTACCAAGAGTCCAACTGTTGAATCACTTTAATGATTTCGTTAAGAGTTTCCAAACAACTCCACCCAGTTGATGAGTGCAGCCGATCAGGATGGTTTCTGAAAGAGATAGTTTTTATGGATAGCCCTTGTTGCTTGTTTCCATAGAACATAACCGAAAAGAATATCCAAAGGAATTTAGCCGCTGCTTGTTTCCGTCGTGAAATTCTCTTGGCTGATGGCTGAAAAATTCAGTAATAAGTCTACTAAACCTTGGAAAATGATACAAATCGGCCTAATTTTCATGATTCAGACGTATAGGAGGAAACAACAAGGAATAAAACTGGCTTCGTTCATCCGAGTGAGCCTTTTGTAAGGGAACTGGTTAGATGAAGCTGTGTAGGCTTCATTATTGCTGAGTCATTTCGACTCTCTTACTCTATGGTTGGATTATTTGTTATGAAGAGAAATAGACCGTGAAATTTTCTGCCACTCTCTTCATCCAGTTCTTATTTCTTCTCACTTTTCTTCAAATTCTTTTCAATGAGAAGTGGAATTAATTATTCCCATAGAATAATATTGGACGTTTCTGTTCATCATCAAACCCTATTTTGTAGTGACCAGCAGAAGTGGCTCTGGAAGTGGACTGTTTCCTCCTCGTACCATCGTTCGTCGTACGGATTCAGCAAACGAGACAGACCAACGTCGGAAACGACTTCGTCGCAGAACCATGATTTACGGTACGCTGGCTTTCTTAGTTTTTTCGAAGGGACAACATTACGTTTTCTGGTAAACCAACGTTTGGTTGATGATCCTTTCCCTTGATCCGAGAATTTTACATCGGAAGAATTGCTCTGATATGGTGAGTTAAGTGAAATGCTTCACTTAGGCCTTCTGTCATGCGAATGACATTTTCCTGAAATGGAATCGACACTTTGACAAGTTGGGTGTTTTCAAATACCACTAACTATATTGGTATTTTTATGAGCCTGTTGTGATCACACTTTTATGGCGTTGTTTTTACTTTCAATGGATTTTTCCTTCGCAAGGCCTGTAAATGTTGCTGCTAGTTGCAATTAATTGAACTAGTGGAGGTGTAACACAAGCGAAGAAAATAATTCTTTTTCTGAAAAATCAGATAGAAAAAAAGTAGAGTGATTCACTAAGTTTGAAACGTTTCATCCAACTATCTCGTGAGATTAACTGACTCAGTCGGTTTCCTACTTAGTCGCAAGCAGGACTCTCCTTTGTCAAAAAATGAAACTGAGAAGTTGGCACAGTTTTTCCTAATGTTCCAGTAATGTTAGTCCAATGAAAGAAAGAACCCTCAATTTATCATGGAAAGCGGTGCAAATGCGAATTTTTCAATCAGAGAAATTGAAGTTTTTCAATCATCTTTTTCTTCGAAACTTGAAATGAAGCTCACTTATATGGTGGCGCCCTGGGCAAAATTCTGAATTCCCTGCTAATTGGCTTTGAAAGCGGCTCTCTCGAATTTGACTGATGCCAGTATTTTCGTACGGGGTATGGAAATGGTATCGGACCTCAGGTCGAATTGTACAATTGGATGGAAAGCAAATTCGGCGAATATTCTTACTTATTGATGATGTCATCAAGCCATCCCAGCAGCTCCTTATCCCCTTCGTTTTCTGCATGAACTTCCTCCCTCACATGTGCCCGTTTTCCGTCGGTTGCGGAATTAGCTCTTTCATTATTTTTCACATCGAATGCAAGAGAAGGGAATATCTTGTCCAATTTCCTGGAAATAGGCGTTTCCCTGCAGAATCCGTCGCAAAGCCAGTCACAGTGAGTGAGGCTGTCATCCGTTTAATCATATGAACAGGAGTGGCAAGTGATGTTGTTAGCGCATATGAGCATGAATGAAACAAATTGCCACGCGAGCGTGTCCGTTTTGCTGCATTCCTAAGTTTTTCGTGAATTTTAGAGGAACCTGTTGCTCGAGCGAAGTTCAGTCATTTGAGATGATTCTTCGGTGGCCCCGGTGGAGGCATTTGTTAGAGTTCACTTTGCTGGTTCGAGCACCTTTAGCTCAAGAGTTTCACCTACCACCTACCTACCACCCCAGCCGCCCTTCCCCACTCCTTCTTGCTCGTCTTTCTTCTGAGGTTGTGCTACTATCAAAAATTTGAGAGCAGGGCCTAAATTTCTTGTTCTGCTATTTGATCGCAAGATATACCGAAGGAGACTGATATGCCCTTTTCTGCTTTTCACTATTTTGAAAACACTTGTTTTTCGTGAGAGTAGGAAGTGATGGCTGTCTGAATGTCATTCATTGTTCGACATTTCCGGCATAACGGGCCGTTAGTCCGGCCTTGACTTGGTGTGACAGAACCACGGGAAGAGAAAATGACAAGGAAATGACAGTGTTGGTGACACTTCCATCTTAGGGCAACGGCTGCAAGAAAGTCTTGATTTATATTTTATTTGTATAAGATCTGCTGTTCTCGGTGCATGCCTCAAGGTTTTTTCAGTTCAGTCTATGTATT